ACAAAAAAAAAAACGTTTTACTGAACCTGTGGATATGGCGAGAAACTCTAAAGATGTAAACGCGTGCGCGTGTTCATTGGCGGGAAAATGATACATCGCCACCCTATATGACCGAGACTTAATGGATAGCAATGCGGGATGGCTAAGAAAATAATACGGTATGAACGGGCTGTGCCGTGACCGTGCAGATACCGTATGATTGATTCATCGGAAATGACGTTCCCTTGTGATACGAGGGTCTTCCTGACACTTTTYCTCTCTCTACCAAATGCTTAAACAAATACTTGTAAATAATACTAAAAAATCATGAAGYCCTTATAAACAAAAAAAAACTTGTCATCGCTTATCACCACCGCAATATATTACAGCAGTGGCGCAGCTCAAACGAGGTCGAACTGAAAGCATGTGAAGGCGCCTCTGGCAGCCGCTATACAGTCCATGTATGACCCCGGAGCACAGCTCTAACCAGTTTGAATTAGTTATATCTTGCATAGTTTTTCTTGAAATTTATCGCCAGCTCGACCCGATAGCCTCACTTCAATGTACGCTCCTTTTGTGCACCTTTGAGCTAGTTGACCAACTAAACGGTTCGTTGATTGGTTAGTTCTCTAATCCCAGGTATTGACCATCTAAACCATTCATTGATTGGCTAGTTCTTTAATTCCAGGTATTGACCACCTAAACGATTCGTTGATTGGCTAGTTCTCTAATTCCAGGTGTTGACCACCTAAACGATTCGTTGATTGGCTAGTTCACCTCAACGATTAACCAATTAGGCCATTTTGACTTGAATAGATCTTTAATCTAAGGCGTAGGGTTTTACCAGACCATATCAATCCCTTGAGTATTATTTCTTCCCTCACATATAAAGTGAAACCAAAAGTTCAAAAAATGCTGTGTGCAATATCTAGTAGCTTATAGAAATTGTAAAAATGATGGTTAACTCTGGCTTAAAAATATGGATTGTGACGTTTGTCTTTCAACAGACTCTTTACCTTGGGCGTAATATTTTTGCATTTCAGATCACGTGTCATTCTCTTGAGAATAGRATTCTTTGTTTGACTTGTATCCATATTGCTTTGTCTTCTAGTGCGCAAACGTTAAACAAAGAAAAAATACTCTAGAAAATAACATGTTTTGAATGGGAAAACATAACGCCCAAGGTGATGAAGTCTACTGAGATCTTCATCATCCCTAGACTGGCAGTCTCATGGGACTCTATTTATAGTCACTTAGGAGATCGTATGCATCAAGCACCTGTATCTTCATCATCCCTAGACTGGCAGTCTCATGGGACTCTATTTATAGTCACTTATGAGATCGTATGCATCGGGAGCTTGTCTTGCTTTACTTAAGTCTCTCTATTTTAATCACAAGGGCGTAAAAGCGGGAAAACATTAGCAGTTGTGAAAATTAAGTGAGTCTGTTTTGCCCCCAAAAAAGGAAGACTGCATAGACTGATTCCATAAGACGTAGTTTTCGCTCCTTCGTGGGTGGTATCCAGAATGGACAAAAGAGCAAAAACACCGACGTATGGAATCAGTCTAGAGTACTACATTGGGCTACCCTAAGCAAAACAACAATGGTACTAGTTCCTGTGACGTCGATCTCAACAAGCCATTATTATAATGAACCAGGCGTACAAAACAAATTGTTGGTTTGTGATAAAACTAATGTATTTCCCCGCGTGTACGTCAACTGTTTGGGATTTATCTACTTATTTTGCTTTCAATATTTTTTGGCTTAATTAGTCGATATTTTTTCCCGTAAATAATACGCAACTACAGCTTTCTGAACCATCTTACCAATTTATTCAATGCGATTTTAATTTTTTCTTTCAAATAGGGAAAGGAATTCGTAACTCTTTAATGAAAAAAATGATTCACTTTAGAAAATTCTTGACTCCGGTTTTATTTAAATTGAACGAACTTTGAATATTCTTTGGATTTCTTAGAATTTTCTTTCGTTCAAAACGAGTTATTGTATCATTAATTAATATTGGCTTCTGCATTTACCTAAACGGAGGTTCTTATTTCTGGGTTTTTTTTTTTATTATTATTATTACTTAATTTTTCCATCCTCACAAAATGAACGAAGCTTCTCTCGGCTTCTCTTACTAAACGTTTAAATCTACCACAAATTATATCTTGAGATTCGTGTACAGATAAACACATGAGTCATTGCTTAATTCCCCACCAAAGCGCAGACAAAATGTCCATCTGAATATTACACATTAAGCGGTTCCGTATTTTGTCTTGAGAAGTTATTATCGCAAAGAACACCGACAGCGTATTGACAAGTAGGAAGAGGGTGCGCCCGTCTCCTTCACATTCATTATATTTGTCATATTTTCGTACATTTTTTTACATTTTTTGAAAACATGCTATTAATTGATCGCGTTGGTTCCGCCGCACAAAACTTTGACACTATTTCCTTTACTTTCTTTTTACTCTTCAAGTATTTTCGAGTTTTCTCGACAGGAAGAACTAACTTCCCAAGATGAAACAGCTAATAACAAAGTGCTTGGATATCGACTGAATTATTAAGTGTACAGTCAAACCTGTCTATAACGGTCAACCTTGGGATATTGCCGAGTGATCGCTATATACAGGTCCGTTATAGACAGGTTTTGTAGATAATAAAGATACAAACGAGTTGGATATCCGAACCTATCTGATCTGACGAGCAGCTGTTGTTGTTGTGTTTTTTTGAATACACTAGCCCCAAATCATTTTCGGGTTCAAAAGCATAGAACATAGGAGCTTAGACCGAAATAGTACATAGTATGTCAATGGTACGTTAATCATAGGTATCTAGGGATACAGCTTGTGGAATTCTCATAAATTGTTGCACCGACAGAGAGGATGGAGGCTTTTAACACATGCCGGTTTCATATCGACTGTGTATACGAATATGAATACATCAGAGGAAAACTATGTCATTTTCCAGAACAATTTTCGGTCTCAGGTAATAAATAACTTAAACCAGCGCTTTAATTTCCGACGGATTATACAACCAAGACTCGTACATTCAACACGGTTTGATATACGATCTTCTCCCAAAACCAAACCGCGCATGCGCCGTCTAATCACTACATCGGCTTCTATGTTACAAGCTTTAGACCCGGAAATGATTTTGCAATTGAGTGTACATGTATACGATTTACGCTTCTTGCGGTCTAGCTATTAAATTGTATTTGATGTTATCGTTGTTATGATGTCTACCTCGTTGAGCATAGTTTACTTTATTCATAAGTTCTTTGATGTGTGCCGATTGATTGATGGCGCGCGCGAATGTTAGCTACATCATGTAGAGATCATTAGCTCCTATAGGTGTAATCATACAACACTATTTTGGTTTGATGCGAGTYGTTTACGTACTTCATAATGTCAACTTTGAACGATGACTTCCTTGATGAATGCTATTAATTGAGACACGAGTGAAAATGGTCTGCGCATGCTCTGAATCCGTATGCAAATTAGTAAAAATGTATGTGAATTTGACTTTCAAACATGCCTGATAAATTGGACTTCGCAAAATGCCAAAACGTAGTGTCCATGCTTAAAACTTTTTTCTCTAGTGTCATTAATTGATCGTTCGARGAAGTGAAAGAAATGCATGGCGAGCAACTAAACCTCATTAGTTCGGTACTCAAATCTAGCTATTTCTATGATCGTACAAGGAAGTGGAGGACAGCACGTGGGGTGCAAATGAACCATAATAATAATAAAGCTCTTTATTTAAGTTTCTAGTCGTTCTAGCACTTTCGCACTAACTGGGGACTCTTTTTCACTCACACACACTACATCTACATTCAGTGTTCTATGCACTTTAAAAGTTCTATGCTCACAGTCTCATGTCACATGTTGATTTTTACGGAGGAAAGAACCCGAAGAAAATCCTCGTGGCAAGAGAGAGAACAGCACATCAAACAAACTTAATCCACATATAGTGTCCGCAGAGCTCGAATCAATAAATCAAACTTTGGAACCACAGTGGTAAAAGAAGATGCGTTAGCAGCGTATGCCACCCATGCTACCTTCCGCCTTAAGTAACATTTTAGTTGTGCAAATCAATGGTCGGGGAAGTGAAAGTAAGCGGGTGGCGCGCAACAATAGCAGGACAACAGTCAACATGCCGACTAATGTAATGGATTATTTGCTATTTTGTTATGAAAGTCAACTTAACGAGTATAAAACATCTGATTGAACGTATAAGAACACTGATGGAAAAAGAACATGTAGTGCGCAAATAATGCTACGTAAACACCAATCATCTAGGGCCTAATGTACTGGATTATTTGCTATTTTAGTGTTGTGAAAATCAACTTAACGAGTACAAAACATCTTATTGAACGTATGAGGACACTGATGGAAAAAAGAACAAGTAGTGCGCAAATAATGCTACGTAAACACTAATCATCTAGGGCCTAATGTAATGGAGTATTTGCTGTTTTGTTTACAGTAGGTGCTAAAATTGTGAACGTAAAGGAAATATTGTGTGCGCAAACCTAGTCATTTTACTGATTCAGTGTTGTTGCTATTAAAATTGAAGCGAAAAAACACAGCACGCATTTACTGTTTGGCCAACTTGAATCATCACCGCCCAAATTGTTTAGGTTTTTTTTCTTTTGAAAAACGGAATGATTGCTGAAAACAGAGTCGTAATGCGTGCACCACTTTACATAAAAATCGGCTTTGCTGTAGTGTAATTAATATTTAGATTATGTAGTACTCAAATGAAACAATAAGAACTAAAGAGAGAGAATGAAAAGAAGACGGAAAAGGATGAAAGAAAAAAGGAACGGAACGAACGAACGAACGAACGAACGAACGAACGAACGAACGAACGAAC